TCTTCAGACTCATGAATCTTTGCTGCTTCAATGTCAAGTCTGCCAGTAGTCCCAATGGTGTTTTATATTTCACACATTTATCTCTAAAAGTTTGTCTTTCCATCATCCATGTCTCTACTTTTCAACAATTGGAATAGTTGTATGTATAACAGTATGTCTGCAAATTCTAACATCTATGTCAGTTTCAATTGATATGTCTCATTATGTCCTATTTCCCTACTTATTTACATCTTTGATAGTTTTTGTTCTAGTATAGTTACTTGGAAACAATTTGATGCTTTCAGGTCTTGATTTAAACACAAGGCAGGGGATCCCTGGGTGGCGCAGCGGTTTAGTGCCTGCCTTTGGCCCGGGGCACGATCCTGGAGACCCGGGATCAAATCCCACGTCGGGCTCCCTGCATGGAGCCTGCTTCTCCCTCTGCCTGTGTCTCTGCCTCTCTCTCTCTCTCTGTGACTATCATGAATAAATAAATAAAATCTTTAAAAAAAAAAAATAAATAAACACAAGACAGGACAGAACGATGCTCAGCCTAGTACCAATCATTACCAACTGTGGTTAAACCCATCTATGTACTCTACCCAATGTCTGAGATTGATGAAATTTTCCAGTCGTGTGGGGACAGCCATTATTCCCAGCCCTCTTTGAGATGCTCTATTAACTTTGCATGGTCTTTTCCTTTCCTCAGCTACATGCACTGATTAGTGCTCACCTGAAATGTCAAGGAGAGTCCTTTCAAATTTTGAGTTCTCTTTCTGTGCAGCTATTTTCTCTCTACTACTCTGTCCTACAAACTCTAGCCATCTTGGTTTCACCAGACTCTCAGCCTTGTCTTGTCAAACATTCCACCAGGCTCTCCATCTCCCTCTCCCTGTGCTGTGGTTTAGAACAGAAACTCTCTCAAAGCAGTGAGCTGGAGTAATCATAGAACTCACCTTGTTTGCTTCCACCCCATGAGGGCTTACATCCTTCATTGCCCTATGTCTTGAAAAGCAGTGTTTCATATTGTAATTTTTTTTTTTTTACTATTACTGTCCTATCTCAACCTTTTAACCATTATGTCCCAGGGAAAAAAAAAATTGAAGCATTCAAGAAAAATGTCTGGATAGTCACTTGCTCTCTAACATCTTGAATAAAAAATTGAGTTATACTTGAGAATTAAAGAACATAAAAACATCATTTACTTTTCATAAACACTAAACAGTGCTTATGAGACATTAACTTTATCATTCTTTTGGATGAGTAAGATTGTACATTACAAAACAGAATTACTGTAGTACTATTAGTACTTTTAACACTTAATCCAAATAAAAACACAAGAAACAGGTGTTAATAATGTATCAGACGTGGGAATTGCCTTCCTGTATCCCACAATGGAATGAACTTATAAAGACAGCACATTTGTCATATTAAATAAAATGCTCCCCAATTTTTATTTGCATTGCGTTTACTTGGGATTCTTTGTTGCATTTATACATTAAGTGGATTCATATGTGATTTTTTTTTCCTACAGAGGTATCACTTCATTAAAGTTTTTGGTTATATAACCTTCCGTTCTCCCTATCAGCTAACATATTTCTATTGTTGGAAAATAATCAAAGTAATGGCTTTTAATGTCATTACCTACAACCATTGTTTTTGCAAATTCCTAACAGTTCACTGGGAGTCATAGAAAGGAAAACAGCCTGCCACTGCAGGCCACTTTTACATATCAAACAGATGAAGCAACTCTAAGATATTTCAGTGAAGTGTAACCAGGCTTATAGAAGATTTTTTCGCATCACTGATTACAAAGCATCTGTTCAGTTACATAAGCTGTAGAGAAATGTAACTTCCCTCTAGTTTTCCTGTATCTTGTTACATAACTCATTTTCTTCAAATTAACTTAGAGCTAATATTTATAGGACAAATAGAAACCAAAAAGGGAAACAAAGCAAGCATACTAGTACAAAAAGAAATGAGGTGAACAAATTCCTAAGTGAAAAATTATTTAGTGGGCTTCTGGGTGGCTCAGTTGAGTGGCTGCCTTCAGCTCAGGTCATGATCGCAGGGGCCTGGGATCCAGCCCTGCGTTGGGATCCCTGCTCAGTAGAGAATCTGCTTCTCTCTTTCTCCCTCTGCTCATGCTTGCTTTGTCTCAAATAAATAAAATCTTTTCAAAAAATTACTTAGGACCAAATAACGGACTACTATTGTGGCCTATAGATTCTATTGCAGGAGCACCTGGGTGGCACAGTTGGTTAAGTGTCTGACTCTTGATTTCCATTCAGGTCATGATCTCAGGGTCATGGGACTGAGTCTCTCGATGGGCTCTATGCTCAGTGAGTTTATGCCCCTTTGCTGTCTGTCCAACCCCTTGCCCGGGCTCTCTAAAATAAATACATTTTTAAGGAAAAAAAAGATTGTCCTGCATTCTTCCTAACCTAGATATACCAGGCTTCAGCCCAAAGTCCTAAGGCCCTTCCCCACTACTTTCAAAGTCAGGTCTTAGTTACAACACTGGCAGGGCAAAACAGAGAACCACACAAGGGAATTAGAAGTTTACAAACATACCATGTCTTACCTTCTCAGTTACAAAAACCAGTTGGGTGGGCAGTAATGCTATGCTGACCACCTCTTTTCTGATGCACAAACGCCTTTAGATGGAGTTATTTACAACTGAAGGAAATTTTAAAAGAAATAGGTTGAAGAGTCCTATTTTTTTTTTTTTTTTTAGATTGGCGGGGAGGGGAGAAGGCGCAAGAGTATTCGAGCAGGGTTGGGGGTTGGGCAGAGAGAGGAGAGAATTTCAAACTGACTGCAGAGCGTGGAGCCTGGTGCAGGGCTGGATCTCACAACATTGAGATCATGACCTGAGCAGAAATCAGGAGTCAGCCTCTGAACTGACTGAGCCATCCAGGTGCCCACCCCTCTGCCTTTTAAAAAAAAATATTTTATTCCAGAGAGAGAGAGGAAAGGAGCAAGCAGGACAAAGGGAGAGAACCCCAGATTCCTTGCTAAGCACGGAGCCTGCATGACGACCCCAAGATCACCTGAGTCAGACACTCAATGGATTGCACCACCCAGACACCCAAGAACCCTACTTCTATGAAATGAGATGTTTGGCCTTCGGCAAATACTTAACTCTCTGAGCCTTAGTTTACCCATTTATATAAATAGGGAAGTTAGAGGAAATAAGATATGAGAAACCTGGTTTATGAAATTATATCATTGCTTTATAATCCGTAATTCATATATATTAGGACATGGATTAAAAAATGTTATCAGTCTTTCATCTCTTCATAACAGAATGTTTATGAGCCACTGCATATTTTTAAACGCTCCCACCTCCCTCAAAACTTTTAATGTGGCCATCATTTAAACTTAAATTCAACTGGACAAATGACCTAACTGCTACAACAAATAAATTCAAGGAGGGAAGGACAGCCATTATGTATTAAAAGACATGGTAAAAAATATTAATCAAATGAAACATACAGACACGGTTTAGAGCCTAATTAAAGAAAACAGGGTGAAGACTTTTTTTAGAAAATTAGAAAACACTGGATATTAGATGAAATGCTACGATGGCCAAGATTTAGAATAATTCTAGCTAAGAGTATGATGCAGTGTGTATATGTGTAGGTATGGGGGCAGGTATTTAAGGGGCAAGGAACAGAAACAAAATTGGACAAATATTGATAATGGTTAATTTTATTAATCTCTTTGAAATTTTTCATAAGTATAAAAGAAGTATGACTTACAAATCTATTATGTACATGTCACCTGATATTATCACTAGCCTGTTGAAAAAATGGAATTCTTGAAGTATAAAATATTAACATAAAGACAGAAAAAGTAGTAAGGACCTAATAAAATTATCTAACAAGTGATACTCTGTATGTACTAATAAACCACTTGAAATGTATAAAATTAATACACTAAATCAGCTTCAACAATTTATCGACTCATGGCCCATCAGCTTTTTCACCTAAAACCTCATCCAAAATACCCCAAACTTGAGTCCCTTATTAGAAATGGCTTTTAAAAGACTCATTAGTTTGATCTGAATTATGCGGTCTTGAAAGAATTTTTAATTTTTGGAGCAAAACCCATTTTCTATGTTTAAATATGCAGCTCTACTCTTATATTTGACAGTTTCAGGATCATGTACACTTGGACTGTTAAATAATTTTATGTCATATATCATTTAAAACAAAAATTTTAAACTACTACCAGATATAGAGATTACAAAAACCTATTAAGACTACTTTGTGGTGCCTGGGTGGCTCAGTTGGATTAGGCGTCAGACTTGATTTTGGCACAAGTCATGATCTCAGGGTGGTGGGATTGAGCCTCACGTTGGGCTCTGCACAGAGTGTGGCGCCTGCTTGAGATTCTCTCCCTTTCTAACTATCCTTCTGCCTGCCCCTCATCGCCTCACACATACTCTAAAAACCAAAAAAAAAAAAAACAAAAAAAAAAACAAACCCACAACATGATGCTGGTCTAGTGTTGGACAAAACTTATAACTGAATAGAGACCAGAAAAAAGGACCACATTCCATGCAGACTTCTGATGACAAAGCTGCCACTGTTGACCAGCTGAGGAGAAAGAAAAGACTATTCAATAGGTCTGGGCCAATTGTTATTAATATGAGAAAAAATGATGTACTTCCCTCAAATTAAAGATTAAAAAAAATTCCAGATAGGAGGATTCAAATGTAAAAGCACAACATTCAGAAAAAAAATAAAGAGGACAGGTCACCGAAGGATCTTACTTACATTAAAATTAACTTCTAGGGACACCTGGGTGGCTCAGTTGGTTGAATCCATCCTTTGGCTCAGGGTGTGATCCTGGTCCTGGGATTAAGTCCCATATTGGGCTCCCTACAGGGAGCCTGCTTCTCCCTCTGCCTGTGTCTCTTCCTCTGTCTCTCATGAATAAATAAATAAAATCTTTTTTTTAAAAAAGTTAACTTCTATCCATCAGTAACAAACAGCACAACAGAAAAGTGGACACAAATTTAAAGACATTTTATTGATAAAGAAACAAGAAACCTATGAAGATATTCAACTCTTAGTTGTCAGGAAAATGCAATTAAAATGACAGTTTTCATTTTTTCCCCTACCAGACTCGAAAAAGTAAAGTCTGACAATACCAGGTTTGGCCAAGAATGTAGAACAAGAATTCTCAGGACACTGCTAGTAGGACTGCAAATTAATCCCATTACTTTAAAAAATATATCAGGATCACTAATTAAGCTGAACATGTACATAATCCTACCATTTAACAATTCTAACTGTATTAGTTTACTAGGGTTACCATAACAAAAATAGTATAGACTAGGTGGCTTAAACAACAGTAATTTATTTTCTTGGTTTTAGAAGCTCTGAGTCCAAAGATCAAAGTGTCAGCAGGTTTGGGTTCAGGAGCCCTCTTTTTTTTTTTTTTTAACAAATTCTTTTTTTTTTTTTTTTAATTTTTATGATAGTCACAAAGAGAGAGAGAGAGGCAGAGACACAGGCAGAGGGAGAAGCAGGCTCCAGGCACCGGAAGTCCGATGTGGGATTCGATCCCGGATCTCCAGGATCGCGCCCTGGGCCAAAGGCAGGCACCAAACCGCTGCGCCACCCAGGGATCCCTCGAGGCCTCTTTTCTGGCAGTGCACACATCCCGTGTTTTCTCTGTATGTTCTAATTTCTTTTTCTTATAAAACACATCAGGTTGGATGAGGGCTACCTTTCAAAGGCCATATTTTAACTTAATTGCCTCTTTAAAGACCTGATCTCCACATACAGTCACATTCTGAGGCATTTACTGGGAGTAAGGGCTTCAACATACGAATTTTGGGGACACACAATTCAGTCTGTAATACTGCCTCTAGGCATTATTAGCCAGAGAAATGCTTCCACATGTTTGGGAATGCTGATAGAAGTTTAGTTCCTAATAGTACACAAGAGACTGGATAAATCAAGTTGTTATACTTCTAAAACAAAATACTGTCTAGTAGTGAAAAGGAATGGACTACAGCTACATCAATAAATTTGGATTTTAGATTCTTAGAAACAGTACTACATGGAAAAAATAGTAATCAAAGTGTATATGTAATGTAACTCTATTATATTAAGGTGAAAAAACGCAAAGATACAGTACATATTTTTGGGATACGTCTAGGTAGCCTTAAAAGTCTAATAAAGTAAACTCTAAAGAAAAGCAAGGTAATGGTTAACATTTAGGATAGTGTTTTCCTCTGGAAAGGAAGGGGAAATACATTTAGAGAAAGCCACAAGACCCTTAAAAAGTTATCTCAGCATTCCATTTCTCAACTTAGATAGTGGGTATATTCTTTTATGGCATAATAAAAAATGTATTTGATCTTTATCCCTGGTTCAGAGCTCAAAAAGCCTCAGCAAGTCCTGAGTGATACGAATGTCTTGTTATTCTGGAATCCCTTTCAACTTTATGGTAATTTATAGCAATGAGGTGACTCAAGGTGGGGGTGAAAGGTCCCTAGATAACTTTAGGATGGAAACTAGTCACCTGAAAAGCCAATTAGGTGATTACAAGGATGGAATTTTCAGAGGAACTAGAGATTGAGTTCAAAGAAGCCAATGATTTAATCAAACATACCTACTCAGTGCAATCTCATAAAAAAAATCCTGAAACAACTAGGCTCAAGCTTCCCAGGTTGGTGAACACATCAATGTCCTGGGAAGGTGGGATACCCACACAGGTCATGGAAGCTCTGCACTCTCTGTCCCCCATACTTTGTCGTATGCATCTTTTCCATTTGGCTGTTTCAGCTGTATTCTTTACAACAAACTCGCTCTAATAGTAAGTACAGCACTTACTTGAATTCTGTCAATCATTCCTGGAATTTTCATACCTTGAGGGGGGGGTGTGGCAGTCACAGGAATCTCCAAAATTTGTAGTTAGTTAAGTATAAGTGCAAGTAATTTGGGGATACCTGAGACTTGTGGCTGGTGTCTGAAGTAGGGGCAATCTTGTGCGACTGAGCCCTTGGTTGACCTGTGGGTCTGCCCTAATTCTGGGTAAATTATAGCATATCCATTTGGTATCAATGGATGCTACTGAAATAATGTTATCTTTAAATGAGGTGTGTGTATGTATCACACACTCTCCATTCTCATTATATATTTAATAAGGAAAAGTTTACTACACACAAAACCAAACAAGAACTATGAAGCAGCACTATCTTTAACCATGGGGCAATCATTACCCATAGGTCTTAAGCCTTGAAAGAGCCAGGATTGCCTGTATCATCACATATGGAATTTTATCTTTTAGTCTAATAAGACCTTCATCCATTTTATGCACAAAACATCATCAATCTGGCCTTTTTCCAGCATATTTCCCAAGAACTTATTTAGAATCTGGTGCACTAAACACTGAACTTCATTGCTATTTGCCTCAGTCCTGAAAAGAAAAAAAATAAATAAATAAATTATTCCCAGGTAGCATTATAATGACAACCATTTGTTTTTTCCCCAAGTTCAGAATTCTACAATTTAATAACTGATGAGGAAGGTACAATTCATGCAAAAAAAAAAAAAAAACAAAGCTAGAATGCAGTAATTTTGAACCCAAAAAATAATCTTTCTTTCCTGAGTGCTCATTTAAATATAATTACCTTAAACTGGTTCTTAAGTTTTTAAAATTAAAGCTAACATTATAAAAATAAATTAAACCTTTATAAACAATTATATAGTGAATTAGCTTGTCATAGTTTATTCTGCAGAAAAAATGTATAAGGTGACTTTTATGTAACATGAATTGTCTATGTATGTACACATACCATTGGCTTATTTATCATCAAATATATTTTTTAAATATTTTATTTGAGACACACACACACACACAAGCAGATTGGGCAACACGAAGCCCACTATGGGGCTCCATCTCACAACCCTGAGATCATGAACTGAGCAGAGACATCAAGAGTCGGATGCTTAAATGACTGAGCCACCCAGTCACCCCTATTTATCATCATATATAAATTTAGACTCTTAGATGTCTTTTCTCTAAATTATAAAAGCTCTTAAAGTTTTCAACCCAGTAAATTTTTAAATGATACATACATTCACTGTAAATGTTAATACAAACTGACAAAATTATTCTAGAGTATGTTCAAAAGAAACTAAAATAATATAACTTGAAATGTCACTATCTTATCTTCCTTCTATTTGCCTAAATCAAGTAATAAACTGCAAATTCCATTTCCCGCTCGACTGCAGATTTCCTATTTACAGATTATCATAATGTTTTTAAGGTATGAACAAATGCCTCCTGTTAAAATGTTTTACTGATAATCAGAAATATAAAAACCAATCATCCACAAACTACACTGATAAGTCTTTATCTCTAGCACTGATCCAAGACTCTCCAAGATATATTTTCTTATCAAACTAAAATCTTTATTCCTTAACTTTTAGTTGTCCATCCAGCAGAAACAGATTAAGGAAAATAGACTCGAGTAATAATTTCTTGTGTCCCTATTTTTGAGTTACTTCTGTTATGGAGGAAGGCAGCATAAGATTTTGATTATAGGGACACCTGGGTAGCTCAGTGGTGGAGCATCTGCCTTCAGCTGAGGTTGGGATCCCAAGGTCCTAGGATTGAGTCTCACATTAGGCTCCTCAGAGGGAGCCTGCTCCTCCCTCAGCCTATGTCTCTGTGTATCTCTCATGAATAAATAAAACCCTAAAAAAAGATTTTGATTACAAAAGATTCTTTTGATTCTTCTACACATCCTTCAGTCTATTTAGAAAAATGTACCAAGATACATACACTTCAGTTTAAAAACAACAAGCACACTGGTGTCAATTCAACACTGCCTTTTATAATTTCCCTTTGATGTATTGTGTATCATTGCAACTCCTGTTCCCACACTGTTCAGGATTTTACGTACAAATGTTACTGTCAAAAACATCCCCCTAATTATATTTCAATGGTTCCCACACACCCTTAAAAAAAAAAAAAAAAAAAAAAAAAGAGCAAGGAAAAAAAAAAAGCAATACCTCACATATTTGGCTGCTGGGAGGATAAAATGGACCACTCTATGAAGGGCAACTTTAATTACCACATTTACAAATATATTTTCTCTTTGACCCAGCAATTCTCTTCAGACAATCTGACAATTAGTTACCCCTGCAAATGTAGGAAATACGTATTCAATAAAACATGGTTCAGTTGGCATGATCAAGATCATGCCTCTTGATCTCAGGGTTGTGAGCCCCCAACACTGGGCACAGAGATTAAACAAAAAAACGTCGTTTGTAATATGTAAAGACTGGAAACAACACAAGTGTGTGCCTATAGTGCATTGACTGTAAAATGGGGTATGTCCATAAAATGGAATGTGTGACAACTTAAAAAAAAAAAGAAAGGGGTGCCTAGGTGGCTTATTCAGTTAAGTGTCTACCTTCTTCAGCTCAGGTCCTGAGTCAGGGGTCCTGGGATCCCTGCTTGGTGGGGAGTGTGCTTCTCTCTCCCCCTCTAATCTTCCTCGGACTCGTTCTCTCTCTCTCAGATAAATAAACAAAATCTTAAAGAAAAAAAAAAAAGAGAATGAGGAGATGTAACTAGACAATGATAAGGAGTATACAGAATATACTTTTTTTTTCAGAATATACTATTAAGTGAAAAAAGTGCAGAACAACACAGAAAACACTGAAGGAGGAATGAAGGGAAATAAGAACCTATACATATTTTCATTTGCTTGTATTTGCACAAAACCCTGAAGGATACACAAGAAACTAGTTAAAAATGGTTATTTGTAAAAGACTATGAGGGACTGTACTGGATGGGGATTAGGAAAGGAGCGAGTCTTCTCAGTGCATTTCTTCCTAGGTAGTCTGAGCATGTAAAATATTTACTAATCAAATAGGTTTAAAAATCTAGTGAAAAGGGGATCCCTGGGTGGTGTAGTGGTTTGGCGCCTGCCTTTGGCCCAGGGCGCGATCCTGGAGACCTGGGATCAAATCCCACATTGGGCTCCTGGTGCATGGAGCCTGCTTCTCCCTCTGCCTCTCTCTCTCTCTATCATTAAAAAAAAAAAAAATCTAGTGAAAAAAATAGTCGTTCCTTTTTTTAGGGCAGCCCCGGTGGCTCAGCGGTTTAGCACCGCCTTCGGCCCAGGGCGTGATCCTGGGGATCCAGGATCCAGGATCCAGGATCCAGGATCGAGTCCCACGTCGGGCTCCCTGCATGGAGCCTGCTTCTCCCTCTGCCTGTGTCTCTGCCTCTCTGTGTGTCTCTCATGAATAAATAAATAAAATCTTTAAAAAAAAAAAAACCTGTCATTGTGTAACCCTGCCAAATGAAAAAAATTAACTTGAGGAAAATAAATGTTTTTTTCTTTTCTTTTTCTATTTCTGGTAACGAAAAGCAAGAAGTTTATCAAGCTGGAAAATAGCTGGTTGGTGACAAAGATGCACTTGTTTGTAATTGTGCTTATTGATTTTTGTCAATAAGAATTGTTTCGCTAAAATCATTACTTGGCAGAAATATAAACGTATATTTACGTATCTATTTTAAACTTAGTTAATGAAAAGCAGATTCATGTTAAAAATCAGTGAACTGTTAACCTTAAGAGACACAAGACTGTGATTATTAAATACAGTAGGAGTCTCTAAACAAGCCAGGTAAAACGTACTAAAACTCAAAATTCCCTACAATCCTCTTATAAAGACTGACAGAAAAAAAAAAAAAAGACTGACAGGACAGGCGAGCGCTCGCGGGTCACTCGGGGGTCCGCGGCCGGAAGTCGCTGGGGTGGCGGGGGGGCGACTTCGGGCAGGTCTCTTGACCTCTTCGAACCGGGTCGGGAAAGCTGAGAAAGTTGGAGTCCAGAGGGTCCCCGGAAGCCCCTGGGGAAGGCTGGCCCGGGGGGGAGGGGCGGGGGGAGTGGCGGCGGTCGAGGCCCCGGGGAAGGGGGGAGGGGCGGCGGCCGAGGCCCGGGGCGGCGCGTACCGAGCGGTAGACGCGGCTCAGCGCCACCAGCAGCTTCGCTTGGTTGTACTGCGGCTGCCACGGCAGCCGCAATGCCTCCTTAGCCGGCAGCAGCATTTTCTCCGCCCCCATGGCGCCGGGACCCGGTCGGAACGAGCCTCGTCTGCGCTGGGCTACAACTGGGCTCAGGAACCGGACGTCCAGTCTCCAAAACCGCCTCAGGGAAGTCAGCCTGCAGCGGAGCGCGCAGAATGGCGTTACCGCCCGAGCGTTTAAATAACTCCCGCGGGAGAAGGCAATACCGCGAGACTGCCGCGCGAGCTCTGTGACGAGAAAATGCGGCCCCGCTGTCCGGTTTTGCGCGTGCGCAGAAGGCCGAGCCGGCCCACTCCCGGCTGGAAGTGGGATGTCTGTGGGTGGCTGGGGTGAGGCCGGAAGTGGTGTTGCGTAGGGAACGGGGGCGGGGGGACGCACTGAACCGCCGCTCCACGGGCGAGAGGAGAGGCTTGGCGGCGCTTGGCTGGAGGTGAGGAGAAAGGCAGCCTGTGACAGGAGTGGACCAGAGGCTGCTAACGGGAGACGTTCTGGGGTTCCTGGGGGTAGGCACATTCTGGGTTTGCTCAGGGGACGCAGTGAGGTCTCCCGGGGGAAGGGGGACAGCAGTCCGGGATTCGGGGGGAGCTGTTGTAGGGTCGGCTGAGAGGGTCAGGGTGAAATTCTTAGAAGGCCTCGTTGGGCCCGAGAGGACAGGAGGGAACAGGAATCTGCTGGGAAGAGCAGAGCGTGCGAATACACCCGAAGGTGATGGGACACCTTGAAGGAAGTTCCTGCCCCTAAGGTCTGGTTGTGCATCAAGGGAAGCAAAAGAGAGTACTGGAGACGGAAGGTGATTTGAGGTTACTGGTTGTGAGACAGTCTGCAGTGCCTTCAGGAGGGAATCACGCTTTATATATCCCTTTTAAAAAGTAGAATATTTTAGACAAAATATAGAAACAAAAGTAGAACTCATTGTGTACTCGCCACCCAGCTGGAGAAATCGATGACATAAGTTGTTTGATAATATGGATTGAAATCCTTTGTCGGCCCCACGCCGTCTCATCCTGTTCCCTCTGGCCCAAGGTCACCACTCTCCCAAGCACCTTAATGTTGTAATTTTAATTACGTACCCGGCACTGTTTTGCATAGTGTAATATCCTTTTGCAGTTTGCTTGTTTACTTAATGTTGTTTTTAAGATTTGTCAGTGTGATGTAACTCTGGTTCATTCATTGTAACAGCCCAACAGGTATTTCCTCATATTAATTTTCCACTATTTATTTGTTTGTTTGTTTGTTTATTTATTTAGCTTTGTATGGCCGGTGTCTGATACATTTTAAGTACTTAACTGTTAGGTTGAATGGATGAATGCCGTTGCATTTGAGCTAAATCACCTCAAGAATAAATAGGATTTCAAATGACTTAAAGAGTATTCCATTAAAACAGAATACTAGTCAGAAGCAGAATCGTGGAAGTGCATGATGTATTTCAAGAACTTGGAAAGTCTTAGAGCTTAAAATGTAGAATTGTATGAAGGTTCGTGATGAAGGAGACACCTAGAAAGATAAGGTTTAGATTTCGAGGATATTGTCCTGAGGAGAATGCACAAGCTCAGGACCCTGAGAGGTTTTTGAATTAGGAGGAAACCAAATCAAAACTGTATTTTTAAGAACACCTGATTGGTTCAGTTCTCATGTGGATAAGGTTTACTTAATAAATAAATAAATAAATGAATAAATAAATAAATAAGCAAGCAAGCTGTATTTTTAGAAGATAATATAATACCATGGAGATAGGACTAGGAGGTAAGAGTTAGTGGCAGGGAATTAAAGACCACCTATTAAGCTTATAGCAATAATGATCATTGCATTAAGTAAGATAATCATGCAAACTGCTTAAAATCCTGAAGCATTTTCCTAGACCATTCATAGTACCACTTTCCTACACAACTGTTTCATACCTTCTCTGTCAAACTTACAGCAGCAGCATTTTTTCTCTCTCTCTTTTTAAAGATTTTATTTATTTATTTATTTATTTGACAGAGCACAAGCAGGGGGAGCAACAGAGGGACAGGGAGAAGCAGGCTCCTCACTGAGCAGTTAGTCCAATGTGGGGCTCCATCCCAGGACCCTGGGATCATGACTTGAGCCAAAGGCAGATGCTTAACCCACTGAGCCCCCCAGGTGCCCCAAACCTGTAATATTTTCTTACATGTCTCATTAAGCTGATATCTTGCATCCTATTTCAGTTAGAAAAAGACTAACCCAGCTGTCTGGCTGCGTCAAAAGAGCGGTGATCTCAGGGTGGAGCATGATCTCAGGGTGATGAGTTCAAGCCCCACATTGAGGGTAGAGATTACTTAATAAGAAAATACATAAACTTCAAAAAAAAAAAAAAAAAGAAAGAAAGAAAAGGACTTCCTCATGCTTTCATTACTACATCTACCAGGTCTATACCCTAATACATTACCTCTACAATTACTGTAAGTGAATTATCTGATTTAGGAGAGGGAGTAAGCTCTTGAAGACTACTTTTTGAATACAAGAGTCTGAAGCATTGCCAATTATAAACTCTCGAGGCTTGGGGTGAAATAGGAATAGTAAAAATATAAAAGACCAGAATGAGGGGATCCCTGGGTGGCTCAGTGGTTTGGCGCCTGCCTTTGGCCCAGGGCACAGTCCTGGAGTCCCGGGATTGAGTCCCACGTTGGGCTCCATGCATGGAGCCTGCTTCTCCCTCTGCCTGTGTCTCTGCCTCTCTCTCTCTCTCTCTATGTCTGTCATGAATAAATAAATAAAATCTTTAAAAAAAAAAAAACCAGAATGATTAAATGGCAGTTGTTTTTCTCTAAAAAAAAAATTCATACCTTTAATAATATAAATGAGACATTAGTATTTTTATGTGAGTTATTTTTAGGTAGATTTAGGTGTTAAGCTTTGTAAGCTAAATGTAAACAGTTTACATACATAGTTTACATTTATGTACATAGTTTACACTTATGGTTTTATAGGACCATTCTTTCTACTACTTAACATAAGTAGTTTATGGTGAATTAGGATATCCTTGATTATCCTATTTTAGAGAATATGTTTTACTAGCCTTTGTCTTACATGTTACTGAATTGTTCAAATATAGTTTGTAACTATTTTTCAAATAAAGTAATAGTAATAGTAAAAACACTAAAAAATAGTGTCATTCATTCTCTCATTTATTCTTTCAAATTTATTGATCTACCATATGACACATTATAGGAATAGGTAGATAAGATTCATTAGTGCAAAACCAGTAATCTGAAGCCATAGCACATGACTATATTAAATGTAACCTTCAAGTGTGAGTAGTTGGTCATCTTAATTGAAATTCTGTCCTAAAGGATGGCTAAATGTATGTACAGCTAATTAAAATGCATTATTGCTCAGAAATGTGGTTTATCCACAGCAGATAACCTCAGTAGTGTATCTTAAGCATCTATACATTTATTATGATCTTTTAAGTTTCGGCCAGACGGGATTTATCCCATCAGAACCCATCTGGGCTGTGGAACTACACTGATGTACTTACTCATCTTATGTGTATATGCTCTGATTTACATTGAGTTCTAATTAAGGATGTATCTCTTCAAATTAAAATTCCGAAACTTATGATTCGACCAAAAACTTCAGATTTGAACCTGTCCCCCAAAACTGCTGTGACTTCCCATTAAGGCACCTTTCAGAGACAAAAGGGAGGGCAAACAGAAGACTTTGGAGCATGTTTAGCTCTGTTTTTCTTAACATTATAAGGTAAATATAACATATCTGGGGAGACAGCATATTTTATCCTTAAAATTGTAGTGGTTTCAGGGGCATCTAGCTGGCTCAGTTGGTAGAGCATGTGACTCTTCACCTTGCGGTTGTAAGTTCAAGCCTCATATTGACTGTAGAGATTACTTAAAAATAAAATCTTAAAAAAAAAAAAGGTCTAGTGGTTTGAGATATCTTGGAGGGAAAGAAATATTAAAAACAAATGAGCATCCTTACTGGAACTTTTAACTATAAGAGCAAGAGTCAATAATTGTTCTCTTTTAGCTCTTAAGGGCAGCTATATATCTGAGTCTGATTGCTTCAAGGCTTCTGTGCATTTCCCTCCAACTCTTTTTATTCCTTAAAAAGGAATCAAGATGCAGTTGTTTTTTTCAACAGTTTAGTTCTGGTTTAAAACATTGATGATGGGGACGCCTGGGTGGCTCAGTGGTTGAGCGTCTGCCTTCGGCTCAGGGCATGATCCTGAGGTCCCTGGATCGAGTCCCACATCGGGCTCCGTGCGTGGAGCCTGCTTCTCCCTCTGCCTATGTCCCTGTGTCTTTCATGAATAAATAAATAAAAATAAAACATATGATGATGTACACCATGCTCTGACATCCAAGAGAAGTAAACTCTTTAGTCCTACTACCTATCTTGGAAGATAGGACATAAGACTTCCAAAAAAAAAAAAAAAAAAAAAAAACTTTGCCTTTTTCAGACCAATGTGAAATATTTGGAAGATACCATCTTTCAAAGAAACATCTAACCAAGATTAAGTCAAAGGCTTCTTTTTTTTTTTTTTTTTTTTTAAATTTTTATTTATTTATGATAGTCACAGAGAGAGAGAGAGAGAGGCAGAGACACAAGCAGAGGGAGAAGCAGGCTCCATGCACCAGGAGCCCAACGTGGGATTCGATCCCGGGTCTCCAGGATCGTGCCCTGGGCCAAAGGCAGGCGCCAAACCGCTGCGCCACCCAGGGATCCCAAGTCAAAGGCTTCTACCGGTCACTGAATTCTATCCAAGATGCACATCTTTTTAAGTTAGGCAGGTACTGTATACAGTAGACTTCTAGCTCCTTAGGCTACTTATTAGCCATAGTTAAAGCACTTATAATAACTAGCCAAATTGATATACTAAGCACCTCCTAAGGCAACCAACACCTAAAATTGCTACCACTCTAATAAGCCCTGACCTCTGTCCCCATTTGTAGGCCTTCCTGATGGCACTGACCCTTTATATTACTATAAACAGTTAACTATGCCAAGACAGTACTAGCCTAGAGAAAAGGTGATGCATTTTGTGCTATTGCATATTACAATTCAACCCTACTCTTATAGCAACAGCTTTTTTTTCAGATGGCTTCCTGGCACCTTCCTGAAGCTGTGTTCCAGCATTGTTCCAGGATGCTCATTGAAGCTTTCCCTCTCATAATGTTTCAGTCCTTAAATTTAAGATTTAACATTTATCCAATGCTTCACTGACCAAATAGAGATTTCTCTTGACTAGCTCTCCACATAACTGCTTTTCACTGAATTATGCTAAATCATGTGACCCATCTCACCAGCCACCTTTACCCCTGCCTATACCTTCAAATCTATACCCTTCACTTCTAATTTCATTGTTTTCTGACAGTTCATATTAGAGACACCAGCAGGGTAACTGAGTAGCATGCTAGGCCTTCATGACTCATGAGATCCTAGAGTAGTCCCTTTGGCATTATTTGAAATCAGCCAGTATGAATGAGTTAACAAACGTTGACACCATTGCCAAAAAAAAAAAAAAAAATCATTCAACAACTACACGATGTCTATAATGCATAATCTGTGTCCCCATTTTAGTATGCTCCAGCAAGAAAAAATATACAGCTTTTGATGGATCCTCCTTAAAAATGCACTGTATGTACAATCTAGCAATCAGATTCCTTATTATTTACGCAAAGGAGTTGAAAAGTTATGTTCACACAGAAACCAACTAATTTTTATAGCAGCTTTATTCATAATTGCCAAAATTTAGAAGCAACCAAGATGTTTTTATTAGTAGGTGAATGGATAAATAAACTTTTGTATCCAGACTATGGAAATATTACTCTGTACTGAAAAAAAATGAGCTATCAAGCCATGAAAAGACATGAAGGAACTTTAAATGCATATTACTAAGTAAAAGAAGTCAACCAAAAAGTCTATGTACTGTATAATTTCAACTGTATTACATTTTAAAAAAATCAGTGATTATCAGAGATTGGAAGGAGGTAGGGATGAATAGGCAGAACAAAGATTTCTGGGGCCGTGAACACACTGTATAATCCCACAGTGATGGATACACGTCCTACATTTGTCAATTGTCAAATTACTGTTAACAGTAAAGTCCATGTAGATATAATTAATGAAGTCCCACAGAAGAATATCACCAAGGCTATGGCCTCCCTCTGCGAACATCTTTTTTGTCTCAAGGTACCCTTCTGTGTGATGTCTCATTCAAAGCTGGCTTTATTATTAAAAGATTAGGCTCCCACATAAATACGGTGGCAACAGGCTGATGAACATTCATGGCGTTCAAACAATGTGCAGCACATTTTTAAGGGGTGCCTGGTATTCCTGACACCTGCACCTCGTGTAGTAGAGAGGAATGAGTGAGGGAGGGTAAGCAGGCCAATCAGGTTTAGAATTGGCATTTTTATTAATTTTAACAAGCCATGGGGCATAAGGGCTGCCCCCCAGGGGCCAGGTACCTGGACCTGGGATAATTAGGGGCAAAGGGAATATTGCCAGAAGAGCCGGAAACCAAGAGTCAGATGCTCAACAACTGAGCCACCCCGGCAGCCCAAAACATTGACTTTCTAATAAACACTACAGTAAACATAAGGCCTTGCCCTCCCTCTCCCAGAAAGATGAAACAACTTGATGGAAGGGTGTGTAAAGAAGTGCTGTGTTATGGTGCTAAGACCCACATACACTAAGATCAAAGAAAGCAGTGCATTAAGTACAGGTTTCCCTTCCAAAGTAGAGCATTCCTATGAAATCTCTCTGAAAGTTCCTGTTATGCCTCTTTGCTTTTACCAAAGACATTAGTATGGTAACAGCTTTATTTGTAAAAGTGAAAATCCTCTTTGGATTTCTTTCAGTTAGCAAAAATAGGTATTAATGTAGGTCTGTCCTAAAAGTGAAATGGTATAACACGAACTTTTAGAAAGTGGGGGATACCTGTATTTCTAAGATGGACATAACCAAACTGAGCTAAGAGGAAGTATATAATGGCAAATGAACTATCTTCCTTCATGCTTGCTGTATTCCGCTTTGTAAGTAGACTTTGTAACTCCTGATGCTGACTTCCAGGTTTTACTGACATTCTTTTTTCTTTTTCTTTTTCTTTTTTTTTTTTAAGATTTTATTTTTTTGAGAGAGTGCGTGTGAACGTGAGCAGGGGAGGGGCAAGGGGAGAGGGAGAAGCAGACTCCCACTGAGCAGGGAACCTGATACAGGGCTTCATCCCAGGACCCTGGAATCGTGACCTGAGCCAAAGGCAGATGCTTAACCAACTGAGCCACCCAGGTGCCCCTTGACATTATTTTTTCTATTTACCAGTCATGGTTTAGGTGATTTGCCTTACAGAAATAATCCTTAGCTGATACAGCATAGTGATGAAAAGAGCTTCAGACTTTTTGCTTCAGCACCCATGATCTTGGATGTCATGAAGTTTGCCATAGCTGGCAGTAATATTCTCTGCATTGTAAAGCATTAATGTCGTATCTCTGCTCTTATTCCCAGGTCAAAGATGCAGTCCAAGAAAGTTCTAAAAATATATCATGAGGTCCAACCTGGTAGTTGACCTATCTATGGAAAGCCTCCTTGAATCCTCACTGGGTCAGACCATACTGGCATTCTTAAAAACTCTTCCTATCAAAAAGTATCAAGAGTGAAAATATAAGATATATACCTACCACTTCAAGGAAGTTCCTGTACCAGCCAACAGTCTAGCACATTAGCTTGCTGCTTTGATCATCAAGCTGACATACTCAAGCTCAGCACAGCAGAGGAAAATGTGTCTGTATCAATATTTTTCACATTCTGTATGTGGCTCATTAGTAGGTCATGAAATCAGTTTTATGAGCCACAGTGAAAAAAATTTTAAAACAAAATAAAATATAAAGTATCAAGTGAATCCTCTGTCAGAATTGTGCTCCACAGAATCCTCTGTGGAATACTGAGGTCAATTTCAATATGTGAAAAGATAGTTAATGGAGGGCATATAATGAATAGAACGTATACTGGCTAAGAAACGGTTTTTCAGTCCTTTGTCCACTTGTGTCTTCTTCAGTTTTCATAAGAATAAAGTTGGTGAGCAGTCTAGTTTTATGTTACCATGACTTGCAACTAGATGTGAAGTCTGAAATGTTCAACTGAGATACGTTTTGCAAACTGCATTTTTTTGAAAGATGTTATCTAGGATATATGTATATATTATTATTATTATTATTATTATTATTATTATTATTATTTTGGTTAGTGGCAGTTAAAACATTTTAATCAATTACTTTAAAATGGATCATATCTTTTTTAAAAGAAAGAGGAAAAGTGAAGTGAAATATGCAGAAGCATGTTCAAGTTCAACTGCTGGACCTGGAAATGTGAATAGTGACAATATTGAGAAAAATATTGACTCTAATTTGCAAACTTCAACTTCGTTTGAGCCACATTTCAAAAAGAAAAAAGTAAGTGCAAGACGTTATAATGAAGATTATTTAAAATATGGTTTTATCAAATGTGAAAAACCCTTTGAAAATGACAGACCTCAGTGTGTTATTTGTAATAATATTCTTGCAAATGAAAGCTTAAAACCTTCAAAATTAAAAAGACACTTAGAAACTCAGCATTCTGAACTTATTGATAAGCCTCTTGAATATTTTCAAAGAAAGAAAAAAGATGTAAAGCTGTCAACACAATTTCTTGGTGGTTCTACCACCATTAGTGAGAAAGCCTTATTATCATCATACTTGGTTGCATATCAAGTAGCAAAAGAGAAAATGGCTCACACAGCTGCTGAAAAAATAATTCTTCCGGCATGTTTGGATATGGTATGTACAATTTTTGATGACAAATCAGCTGATAAATTAAAAACTATATCTAGTGATAATATAGTATCTCTTCGCATTTGTACTATTGCGGAACATTTAGAAACCATGCTTCTTGCTCGGTTGCAGTCTGGTATAGATTTTGCAATCCAACTTGATGAAAGCAGTGATGTGGGGAGCTGCCCAACACTCTTAGTGTATGTCAGATATGCGTGGCAAGATGATTTTATGGAGGATTTTTTGTGTTGTTTAAATATAGCCTCACACCTAAGTGGATTAGATATTTTTACAGAATTAGAAAAATGCATTGTTGGTCAATATAAATTAAACTGGAAAAACTGCAAAGGAATTACAAGTGACGGAGCAGCAAGCCTAACGGGAAAACATAGCAGAGTAATTAAAAAATTGCTGGAAGTTACTAATAATGGTGCTGTATGGAATCATTGTTTTATACATCGTGAAGCTTTAGCATCTAGGGAAATCCCACAGAGTCTCATGGAAGTATTGAAAAATGCAGTGAAAGTTGTTAACTTTATTAAAGGAAGCACACTAAATAACCAGCTTCTTGAAACATTTTGTTCAGAGATTGGAACTAATCATACCCACTTACTATATCATACCAAAGTTCGTTGGTTGTCTCATGGGAAAATACTAAGCAGGGTTTATGAACTCAAGAATGAGATTCACATTTTTCTTATTGAAAAAAAATCTCATTTGGCAAGTATTTTTGAAGATGATACTTGGGCAATGAAATTGGCATATTTAACTGATATTTTTGGCATTCTTAATGAACTGAGTTTAAAACTACAGGGGAAAAATAGTGATATATTCCAACATGTCGAACGTATTCAGGGATTTCGAAAGACATTATTGTTATGGCAAGCGAGGCTTAAAAGCAACTGTCCTAGCTACTACATGTTTCCAAGATTTTTGCAACATATTGAAGAGAATATTATTAGTGAAAACATTTTGAAAGAAATAAAATTAGAGATATTGTTGCATCTCACTTCTCTGTCTCAAACTTTTAACCATTTCTTTCCAGAAGAGAAATTTGAAACATTAAGAGAAAATTGCTGGGTAAAAGATCCATTTGCTTTTCGAAACCCAGAATCAGTAATTGAATTAAACTTGGTGCCTGAAGAAGAGAGTGAATTATTGCAGCTTAGTTCGTCATATACATTGAAGAGTGATTATGAAACACTAAGTTTATCAGCATTTTGGATTAAGGTGAAGGAAGACTTTCCTCTGCTAAGTAGAAAGAGTGTCCCGCTATTATTGCCATTCACAACAACTAGTTTGTGTGAGCTAGGGTTTTCAGTCTTAACCCAGTTAAAAGCATTTTAAAAGCATGATTTTTGTTTTTGTGTTTCTTATTTTGTGGTATTTTTCTGTGTTGTATTTAGATGTTAACATAGCATTGTATGTGATAACTTTATTTAAATACTAATAAAATCACAATGTAACTTTACATTCTTGAACGAAAACTTAGTGAACTGTTAAGAGTTCAGGAACTGTTCTAGAGATACTTGGGATACAAAATGAAGAAAGCAAAGATCATTCTATAGTGGAACTTATGTTCTGTGGGAGAGAGAGAGAGACAATGAGTAAGGCTTGTGATATCTTAAAGATAAGTGCTATGGAAAGAATAATAAGAAAGGTCAGGGAACTATTTGGGGACAAAATCATGAAGGACTCTAGTCCGTTATAGGGCTTCTGGGTTTTTGTCAGTGAAATGGAGAGCAATTGAAGGATTATTTTGAGGAGAAAGATGATCTGAATTAAGTTTTAAAAGACATTCCAGGGTCACCTGGGTGGCTCAGTTGATGAAGCATCTATCATTTGTTCAGGTCATGATCCCAGGGTCCTGGAATTGAGCCCTACATTGGGCTCCCTGTTCAGCTGGGGGTCAGCTGCTCCCTCTTCCTCTGTTCCTCCTATCCACTTATCTCCTCTCAAATAAATAAAGACTCACTTCAGAGGTGCCTGGCTGGCCCAGTCAGTGAAGCATCTAAACTCTTGACCTCAGGGTCATGAGTTTGAACCCCTTGTTAGGTGAAGAGGTTACTGAAATAAATGACACTGCCCAGTATTTTGAGAATATATTGGATTAAATGTTACTTCCCTAAAGGATTTTCCTAACCACCATAGTTTTTGTTCCATTATTCCCTTTATTTCTTTTCTTTGTAGTATATCATTGTCAATCTGCCACCTTAGAATGAATGCTCCAGAAGAGTTCACGTCCATTTTGTATGATACATAGTGGGCGTTCAGTATACATTTGATTAACAAATAATGGTCTCTAACATCTGAACTTGAGGTCATACTATCAGGAGTAATTATTATATATGTGGCAAAGCCTTTTTTGCATTTGAAAATCTGGTTTTGTCAGATAACCTCTATAAGCATCCAAAAATGACACTGATTGATAATGGATTCCTCACATCCAACTTCTTTTATGTATTAGCTGACTCCAGTGAGTGATGTTTCTTTGGGCAAGGGCTTTCTCTAAAATCAAAAAAGTTAAGCAATTCCTTTCCATCACCTACCACACTATGCATTATTGTAATACTGATTTTTCATATTTTGTATTCTGTTAAAGGTACTTCTTTTCCCCCCCCAACCCTTTTTTTGTTTTGTTTTGTGCTTGAAATAAAGTATTGGAAGACAATTCTCCATGAACATCTCACTTGTCTGCTCAGTGTGGATCTTCTGAATAAAGGTATTTGCATCCAAGTTAAGAATGGTTAAGGGAGGGATCCCCGGGTGGCGCAGCGGTTTGGCGCCTGCCTTTGGCCCGGGGCGCGATCCTGGAGACCCGGGATCGAGTCCCACATCAGGCTCCCGGTGCATGGAGCCTGCTTCTCCCTCTGCCTGTGTCTCTGCCTCTCTCTCTCTCTCTCTCTCTCTCTCTCTGTGACTATCATAAATAAATAAATAAAATTTTAAAAAAAAAAAAGAATGGTTAAGGGAGACAGTTTAGGGTCGTGAAGCTAGAGACACCCCAGGGAAGTAAAGATAAAGCCTTCTTCCCCTCTTCAGAGATGTTTCACTCGCACAGCACCAGAGTAATGGATAATGTCCCTGGAGAGGAGGATGGGAAAATAATACCAGCGACCCCATAAAACCCTACAGTCTTCTGTGGTGTGACCTGCTGCATGATGCAGAGACTCAATCCCAGAACCCCAGGATCATGACCTGAGCTAAAGGCAGACAGGATTGAGCACTAGGTGTTATATGTTGGCAAATCGAACTCCAATAAAAAATATATAAAAATAAAGGAAGATGTTTAATTGAGCCACCCAAGTCCCCTATTTATTTTTTAAGACAAAGTTTTTAATAATGTCCAGGATTATTGAAGGCTCTTAATATTCAAGACAACAACATCCAGATTATAGCTGAGTTCAAGGTCTTTGAGATGTGACCCTAGCTTTCCTGTTGTTTCAATCTGCACTCTGTTTACCAGTCAAACTAATTTTTCCAGGAGAACCCCGTGCTTTCCCATTATTTTGTCTTTGCTCAGGCAATTGGTACTATCTAAAATCCATTTCCACCAACTTTCTGTATATTTCAGTATCCTATGCCTTCTGCTAGAACTTCCTATAAGGAGAATAATAAAATATCTGTTTTTTTACATGTAGCTGCTTTCACTCAGTATATATACTTTTAGATGCTTACATGTATCAGTAGTTCATGCCTTTGTATTGCTGAGTGGTTTTCCATTGTATGACTAGACTGCAATTTGTTTATTCTTTTCTTGTTGGACATTTATAATTGTTTAGGGGCAATTATGGATTAAGTTCAATGAGTATTTCATGTATAAGTCTTTGGGTAGACATGTTTTCATCTTTTTCTTAGTAAATACCCTGTAATGAACGTATCTTCGGTTAGGTATCTGGTCAACTGTTTTGTCCATTTATTTTTTATTTTTAAAGATTTTATTTATTTATTCATGCGATACACAGAGAGAGGGAGAGAGAGGCAGAGACTCAGGCAGAGGGAGAAGCAGGCTCCACGCGGGGAGCCTGACGTGGGACTCGATCCCGGGTCTCCAGGATCACGACCTGAGCCAAAGGCAGGCACTAAACTGCTGACCCACCCAGGGATCCCCTGTTTTGTCCATTTTAAAATTAGTTTCTTTTCTTTTTTTTTTTTTTTTTTAAGATTTATTTATTTAAGAGAGAGAGCACGAACAGGGGCGAAGGGGAGAGATGGAGAAGGAGGAGCAGACTCCCCACTAAGCACAGAGCCCTAGGCAGGGCTTGACTCCAGGACCCTGAGATCATGATCTGAGCCCAATGCCTATGCTTAACTAGGCCACCCAAGCTCCCCTAGATACAAGTTTTAAATCAGTAATCAGCATTCATATTATTGTGACCTGTGAATATTATTCATGGCTGAGCTTACAGTATTCTATGATTGTTTCCTTTCTTGTAAACTTCTTGCTTATTCCAGAGGTAATACTTGTCTCCCCCACCTATTTGTGTGCTTACCCCTCTCTTATTTGTGTGCTTGATATTCTACTCAGTTTCCATTCATTTCGGTAACAGCTCTAGGAAGGATATTTCCAAGAAATGAAAGAAAGAAAAAGTAAGAAGGGAGGGAGGGAAGAAAGAAACAGAAAGAGGGAGAAGGAAAACATTTAGAAAGAGAAACACACCAACTAAAATACAAGCTGATGCTTTTGAATGCATTGGGAAATTCACATGTGTTGCAAAGAATTTGACCATAATCATAAGTGTGCATATAATAACGCACATGAACAAATAAGACTGAGTAGGGGTGAAGAATGGGAGGAGAGGGATAAGGGAGATTAGTTATTACCTCTAGGGTAAGCAAGAAGTTTACAAGAAAGGAAACATAATCATAGAATAATACAAGCTCGGGCATGAATAATATTCACAGACCATAATAGTGTGAATGTTGATTACTGATTTAAAGCTTGAGATAAAACACTCAGGATGATGAAAGACACAAAAGGATTCCTTTTGAGGATGTGTAGTGTT